ACTAAACCTAAACATAAAAAAATGCTGGCCTTATAATGAAGAAAGGGGCCTCTTTCAAAATAGATAATTTCAAAGCCGCTGGGTCAGGGGTACCAGGGGAGTACTTTGACTAAAAATAGATTAATGCTTTGAAATCTGCCCTTTGATAAGCAAGGTGCCTCTTTCAAAATTTGTGAATTTCATGGCTTTTGGATTAAAACACGAACCAAATACAATCGCTGGAAAGTTGTTACATGATACTCAGGTGACGTATAAGGCCCGTGGGCCTCTTGTTTATTCGACACGTATTTTAGATTTCCCATAGCAAAACTTGAACAGTGCCATTATATGTTTACCTATGACGTCACATATAGAAGCTTCTGGATAACATTTGATAGGACGAGTTATTCCTCTTTACGCATTAGCGTAAAACAATATATAGCAACACATGGACATTATGGGAGGTGGGGATATCATTTAGTGAGCTCATTGCTCACATTACCTCTAGTTTACGTAGGAAACAGATAAACATTTAACATTTTTACCAAATCTCTGATGTTCTGAAAAGTGAGTTTAGCCTTATTTTATTCGCTTTTGAAAATCATAAGATAAAAAAATCAAACATTTGTAGGTAACTGTTTGTTGCGTTTCTTTTGCGTGTCAGTATATTTTAAGTGACCTCTATATTACATGAAATATCATCGTTTTATGACGATAGCGAACTCCAAATTCGGTTTGATTTTCTATAGAATCAAAGGAAAATGTTAACGATGTTAATGGGCACAGATTCATCGGGGGTACTTAAGAGAGTGCCAACTACTTTTAAAGAGGAGCCAGAAGTCTCTATCGAGAATGTAGCGTTTCTGGTTTCAGCGTTTTTTTTCCTTATATAACTGGTACCGATAAACGGACCATTCCCAATGCCAAAAAACGTTTTTTCCCAATTTTGAGACTAAAAATTCTCCATTCATTTGTTGAAAAAAAAGAAACTCGGATATTGCTACGTACTTGGTTTGAAAGTTCAAACGTTGTACGAGTTATCTAAAATTTCCACTTCCTGTTATAAATCGAAAGTAGACAGCATGGCGGCGGTTTGCGTGTTGTAGAGGACCAATCTAGGACCCCCGATGTCTCACAATAGTAAATACTATAGAAAAAAAACTAAAGAAAGACCACTCCAGCCGGAAAATTGACACGCTATTTCGGAAGCTGTCCCAGAATGAAAATATATGTAGGTCTATATGTTTATAGGAAATTAAACTTAACAACATAAGAGACAGATACTCATACTGATTAACATTCAGCATTAATCATTTCCCTTTCCTTTTATAACTATAATTGCTAGCGCTCTCGAGCGCTAGCAACTACGTTAGTCCAAATTTCTTGAATACGCATGCTCGGCATTCTGGGAAAACTGTGAAAACTACTATCGATAGACCGTACGATAACAATTTCATTATATCCTGTTGTAGCATTAAATAACTATGTTTATTTATTGTGTAGCTTACACAAAAAAGATAACTACATATATGTAATGCTTCAAATTTTCCCGTTTTTTTTTCTTACGGAAATGCCTGAGTCATTATCTGATTGTTCGAAACAAAGACAAGGGAGGTCTAAGCACAACCAAAGATAGACTCTAATTTCTGATTGTTCAATTCAGCCAATCTTAAAAATTCCAGAAACAAGAATTTACACTATAACGAATAAATCCATTATTTATATATTTAAAAAAAATTCTGATGTGTATGGTTTTTAACCTAACATTTCTTGACAAATCAGTATGACCCAAAGGACCAAGCTGCTTCACATTTGGAACTCTGGATTTCTTTATATAACATACAGTTTGAGTCAGTTACTATATTCTTTTAACTCCCCTGTATTTTTTTTTGCTACATTGCCAAGAAATTCTATTCTTAACCAGCTCATACAATGCCTCAATCGGCATCTTCTCCATATTATATAGAGTCTCCCCCTCTCCAGTAAAGGTCATAAATGTCAGCTCCGTTGCGCCAAAACTTCAATAGGTCAACACAAAAATCCCCCTCGTTTCTTTACCTATGTGTCTATAAAATACACTTCACAAAACAATTATAACTTTATTACTCTCTAGCCTCGATAAAAATTAAAGAATTTAGCAAAATAAATCACTTGATCACAGATCCTCCTTTCTGTGTTTAAAAATTGCTACGGCGCTAGCTCACCTATCTTTTTAAAAAGATAAACTTGTATATTGATTACAACAATACAGAAAGATGAATTGAAAAACGTTAAAAGATTATTTAGGGATTTAGTTTTATTTGCTTTTAATAAAATTATTGCAGTCACTGAAGTTAGTCAGTCTGGCCCTACTATTAGTTCAGTCCTAGAAGTAGATGTCAGCTCACCGTGTGAAGTTAGTCTGGCCCTACTGTCAGTTCAGTCCTAGAAGTAGATGTCAGCTCACCGAGTGAAGTTAGTCAGTCCAGCCCTACTGTCGGTTCAGTCCTAGAATTAGATTTCAGCTCACCTACAGCCTATCAAGATGTTACAGTTGAATTAAGTGAAGCTACTGGTCCGCGCAGAGTATCAAATTTTGATTCTAGTGTGGAACAAAACATTTCAGTTACCATTTCTGGTTCTGATGTGACACAAAGCAGTGACACTCACGAACAACAAACTAAAGTAAGTCCTACATGTAGTACTCAACAATCAGAGGAGGAATTTAAAACCAAATCTTGCCGACTTTCCAGCATACTTACAACAAACTATGAAAGACAGTATGAATGGCTTTTCTTTAGTGCATCCAAGAATGGATATTGTTGTTAAGTATTGTGAAATGTGGGGGGGATCCCTTGTCAACATCTCCCTTTATTCTTGGAACAACTCTTGGAAGCCATCCAAATAAAAAATTACGAACACATGAATCTTCAAATTTGCATGCAGAGTCTCTTCGTAAATGTTTGAAGATGAAAACACCAGAAGTACAACCGACTGTCCTTCAACAACTACTACGAAGACCCGAATGTACGGAGATGAACAGAACATATATGTCTACGCTCATTAATTCTGCCTTTTTGTAATTAAAAAACAGTGGGCAATAGATAGCATAGGAGATATTTTTAATTTCTTACACGATCAGGAATGCCCAACTGTTTTGAATTTATGGCAAATCACCCATCAGTGACTTACACCTCTTCAACTTCTGTCAAAAACATTGTTCTTTCTATTAACGCTTGTCTTGAGAAATCACTCCTGACAACAATAAGAAATTCACCTTATATAGGTTTACTAGCAGATGAGTCCACAGATGAGGCCAACAGAACCAAGTTTGCAATACTGATAAGATGTCTAGATACAGATAAAACCATAAAAGATCATTTTTTAGGGATGATCAATGTGAAGAAAACTGATGCAGCAACTCTTGTGAGTAAAATTGAGAGATTTTTTATTTCTAAAGAGATAGCTATATCAAAGATTCTGTTTGTTGGATTTGATGGGTGTAACACCATGAGTGGTGAAAATACTGGTAGGTGTTAAACTAGATAGTACTCTTGGAAGACAAGCATGGAAAGCTCTTCAAGAAAATATGATTTAATTATTAATGATTATTACAATATTATTTCATCATAGAAAAAATTAAATTTTTAAGAACTATATGCGGTATATTGCATATATTTGCCCCCACAAAAGTCAAATTTTGAAAACTTCCTGAAATGTGCTGAATTCAATAAATTGTATGAGAAATATAAATTAACAGAAAATATTATAGTGCCAAAGCATTGTATTCACAATTTTTGTTTTTATGACGTCACAAACTAGTCCGATTTTATATCCTTTTTCAGAAAGACGACAAAATGGACAAAATTTCAACAATTGTAGCTTTAAAATTTATAGAGCGCAAGTTTGTTCAGGAACAATATTGACATATTTTATTGATATTATCATTCTACACATTATATCAAAATATTGATCCTGAACACACATGCGCTCGGTGACTTTTACTCAAAATATCGATGAAATATGTACATTTTTCTGTAAAATTCATAAAAAACTGAAATTTACGTCATGTTTGTGACGTCATTACGTACATATGGCGTCATTACTTATGAAAATGTTCAGTGCTTTGAAGTCAGCATATACTCCCCTGTTTAAGAACTTAATTAAATCAGGGCCGTAACTAGGGGTAAAAGATAGAGGAGGCGGGGGTTTGGGGGCGGTCGATTGAGGCCCGCAGAGATCGGGGGTGCGGGGGGCGAAGCCCCCGCAGAAAAATTGCTTCAAACGGCTCAATTTTGGACCATTTCCTTGATTTTGAGAATGCTTACAACTTTATTATATTACCTATTTATATACTATTTTGGATAGATATGATCATGATGATCAAATAAATTTCAATCGTAATTCCCATGTTCAATATTGTCTGAAGGCTTAACGGTGATCGTCTAGCTTTGATCACCAGAGAACGCAAGATGGATCTTTCTGCTTCCTCCCCCGACTACCCTTTGTTCCCCTTCCCTGTCGTAAAAGGCGACTGAATGGGGACTGTGTGTCGTAAGGGGCGACTGAATGAAGACTGTGTGTCGTAAGGGGCGACTGAATGGGGAGTGTGTATCGTAAAAGGCGACTGAATGGGGACCCGTGATGATCTGAGTTACTTACAGTAGGTCCTCATCGTCCCTTGCGTGTTGTAAGATTGTTTATAATTTTACGTCCCGCTCAAGAATATTTCACTTATATGGCGTGTTGTAAGAAGCAACTGAATGGGACAGTCCCTCGGATGAGACGGAAAAAACCGAGGTCCTGTGTCACAGCAGGTGTGTCACGATAAAGATCCCTTCCTGCTCAAAGGCCCTGAGCGCCGAGCATAGGTCTAAATTTTGCAGGCCTTTACCGGCAATGGAGACGTCTCCATTATGGCATATAAGTGAAAAATTCTCGAGCGGGACGTAAAACAATCAATAACCAACCAACTAACGTTAACTCACAATACTCATCTGATGCTTCAATTGAATTTTAACTTCTGAATGTAAATATAAATAATGATAAATACGAAACTGACTTTTCCCAAGAAAAAAATAAAATTATTTAAGTCAATAGGAGTATCTGGGAAGATCGTACCCGTCGATTCATTCTGAATAGTTTTCACTGTACTAAATGCAGTTCTAAAATGATCGATCGCCGTAGTTCGAATTTCGCTATGGGACATGGGGACTGGTCCTTTGGATGAGACCGCATAAAGTTAACCGAAGCCCCGTGTCACAGCTGTGGCACGATAAAGATCCCTCTCTGCTCAAAGGCCCTGAACGCCGAGCATAGGTAATGGTGACACTCACTGGATAGCTGAAAAATTGCTCAGGTGGCTATAATCAAACAAATAAATGATCAATCTTGATCCAGCTGCTTGTGTTGTGTTTCTTATTTCCAAAAAAAAAAATGAAAATCTAGAGGAGGCAATTGCCTCCGTTGCCTCAATGGTAGTTACGGCCCTGTAAATATATCTCCATCAAAGTTTGATTTGGGGGGCAAATATTGGTTATTACCGAATAAAGTTCTTTGTAGATTTTATTCTTTCATGACATTGAGTCTAAAGGTTAAAAATATGCTAAAATTTCTGTAGGTCTCCAGCGCCGATTTAGACATGTGGTGCCTCACAGTTTGTACATCAATTGTAGAAGCCATCGTCTAGCACTGTGTGTCAAACACTTGATGAAATATTTTCCTGTACTAGAGGATGTAGATCTAGATCTTCTGGCCATCTATAAGCTGTTTGACAATTCACCTCAAAAGTTTGCTGTTTTTAAAGATGTACAAGCTACATTGTAGTTATGCAGAGAAAGAGTTGGTCTTAAGACGAGCTGCTGCTACGAGATGGTTATCACATGGGGATGCATGCAAAAGAGTCATCCAAAGATATGTTCTGGTAAGTTCTAAATCCACACATTAGGTTTCATAATAAAGAATTAATAACATTTTATAAAAGTCAGTTACACAAGTAAAATCTTTAGTTTAACTTTTTAATCAGATTGTACATTATCTCAAATATTTTCAGATAATTGACACACTTGATGAACTGTTGGGTCGAACAAGAGAACCTGAAATATTAAGAGTCATTCTCTGTAAGAATCAAAGAATTTAGAAAAAAGTTGGAAATGGTACATCACAGATTTTGCTGATTTTTTGCATGCAATGTAGAAACACCATGTATAGAACATTTTTGGGGTTAATTTTTTATTTTGAGTCCCGGTTGCCATGGTAACCAAAACCACCATTTTGAGGCCAAAAATACAGAGCAACCTACTGAAAGTATACCATCTTCGTCATAAATTTCTATTTTCTGTATATTATTTAAAGATTTAATTGTTGTCTACTCTGATAGACTATTTGTTGGAGTAACTACCACAACTGATGAAATTATTCAGTAGTTGGTCATAAAAGAGTTGTGTTCCAGTGAAAAGTGTGAATTTTTCAAAATTTTACAAATTTGAAAAAATGCCAATGTTTGGCATTTTCTAAGCATAGTAGCAAGAAAACGCGGGCAACCCATAACAAACAACTACCATCACTGAAAAGGTCATTCCTAGCTCAACAAAATATAAAATTTCTAGAGAGGTATTATTTCTTAAAATAAAATAAAACGAAAATGAAAATGGTTGCTATGGAGATTTTGGATTAATTTGTAGATTCAACATTTGGCTCCTTTTTGTACATCATAACTTTAAAAAGGTCAAAAGTAAACCAAATCACACTACTAAACATCATAATTTTAAAATATTATGATAAATGTGTAAGTTCATAAATTAAACAAAAATAATCTGTTACTATAGCAACCAAAAAGTCAGGAAAAATCACATAGCTATTGACGTTATCATTATGCAAAATCTGTGGCCTCCGTGCATGATTTAATTTCTTCAAATTAAAATAAACAACACTTATTATATTTGTTATTTCACTTATGTACATTTTAAAGAAAAATAAATAAAAATTCAAGCGTCTAAAATCACGTTGCTATGGTAACCAAATAGTTTTTGAATACTTCCTTACATTGGTTGCTTTCACAAATTTTGTTGTACTGACAAGTATACAACAAATAATATCATAGCTTCATTATTTTTTTCTCTTTTTCAGTAAAATGAATTGAATTTAATTGTATTTCACTAAATATCAAAATAGTAATTCATAATTTATTTTTTAAAATGGTTGCTATGGCAGCCAATAGTTCAGGAAAATCCTTTTCATTTATATGTTTTATATACAAAATCTACTGCTTTATTGCACGATTATGTGTCTTCTTCAATAAAATAAATTCCATAAACCTTGTCATTTCACTAACATGAAAAAAGACTATAAATTCATAATTTAATAAAAAAAAAACAGTTGCTATGGTAACCAAATAATTCAGGAATGATCCAAATAAGTATTGATGTACCAGTACACAAAACTCATAGCACTGCCACCAATGTTTGTTTATACTTCTAATTAATTTATTTACCGGGACAAAAACAGATGAACTCAAACTTAAACTGACATATATCTGAATTACTGCAGCGGGATTTGTTTCCATGGAAACAATAAATACCGACATAAAATCATGACCGATCTTTTGGAAGCAACTTGCTTTATTAATTGAAACATATATAACATGTTTTAACGTGTACATGCACTTCTTAGTTTAAGTAGGACAAGCACATAGTCAAGAGTGCCCCCCCCCTCCTCAATTCGACTTGTTTTTGCTGTTATTGAAATGATCTTTCGCTGTTCCTTTTGTAAGGAATTATTATACCACCGCTACGAAGAAGAGGAGGGTATACTGATTTACCTTTCTGTGTCTGGCTGCCTGTATGTCTGAACGTAGCAAATATTTGGTTGCAGTTTTCTCAGCAATTACACATGTATCACTATTCATTGAAAATGCTTGAAATTTTAGCACCGTATTTGCTAAGGCATGTATTGTGGCATAGGTGGGTAACATTTGAGTTTCTTAAATCTGATGTCAATTTCCTCTTTATCCTTGTGTTTGTCCTACCGTACATAAAAAAATTTTTGTTGAAGTTTTCCCAGCCGAGATAAGCGTGATTCATACACATTAAGAATGACAATCAAAATTCAGTATGTAATTTAAAGATTTTGTGATTTTGTTCTTCCTCATTAAGGCACAGAGGGTAAAATAAGTATTAGGGAAAGTGCAATTAGATTAAAAGTATATAATTATACAAACCACCGCCACTGTTATTAGTTCCAAAACACTATCCGTAGGGTCTATGCCCTTGGGAGTGAACTCCCTACAAGCTTTTGAAATTCAATCTACAGAGAACCTCATCGATATATGACAGGAAAAATAATAATCTGAAATAGTTTTCTGGGGGGGGGGGGGTTAAAGTGAGGGGGGATAAAATGTTACCACCACCACCTTCAATATGTTACAAAGCGGGAGGGGGGGGGGGTAATTTATTTGTATTAGTATTTTTTTTTTCAAGTTAAATAACTTATTTTTAGCTAACACAATTTGGAAAGCTTCTTAGAAATATTTTCCAGAACATAAAGTCTGTGATAAATAGAATACTGAGATGTCCTTATAAAATACGACAAAATCAAATATAATTTTTTTTTCTCTGCTATAATTTGGGCACATAAATCCATTATTTCAACAACAACCATTTTACATATCCCAAATTTCTGCATGCACGTAAAATGAACTCCTTTCCACTGAAAATTTCCGTATTTCCCTATAAACTTTTATGTATTCCTTCATTATGTATTGTTTCAGTAAAGTGTAAACATTGTATTATAAATATGGCCTAAATTCAACTGTAGTGGTGTTTGCTATGCCAAAAAAATCATAATATAAATTAAATTATTTTTTCTTTGTTGCATAAATTAATCTGATGTTAAAGAAATAAATTCCTACGTTCTTTCATTTTTTTTTTTTTGCAATAACTTTAAGTTCCTAAAAAGAAAGGGCACATTCACACACGATCATCGGTGTCTTCTACCTATTCCCACTTTTTAAAAATCCCAGTTCCACCTATTCCTACTTGCAAATAACAATAGATGTTTAGATAGTTAATTCGTTTTAAATATAATTACATTCCCTCTTGGTTTCACCTATACTTTTTTCATTTCAGACAGAAATTTGTGAGAAATATAACAAAAAATGTTTTATATGTACATGTCAAGAAAATGCATTTTTATAACTTGATTTTAGACATTTAAAAAGGTGGATTCTAGAATTAATATATAAATGGGGAAAATCTTATTAATTCTGCCTTAAAAGTTGATTTTTTCTTTAAATCATTGGTAAAAATTCTGATTTATTTTTTAAAAAGCAAATATACCAGTCCTGGCCTCTATAGGTGTTCATTAATTATTTTTTATACAGTAATTGTATGTTTTCATAGTTAATTTTTTGTTTACACAAAAATTCCGCCGATTCCCATTTGAAATCTTGCCTTTTCCTACCTGATTTTAAATAAGTGGGAATAGGTAGAATGAACCACGATCATCGACCCATTCAAAAATAATTAAAAAAAAACTTGAATCAACAAATTTCAACCCTGCAAAAATTGAAATCTAAAAGAAAATCGCAGTTTTGTCATGTGTTCAGTTTAGCGATGTGATTTCATAAGGTCACTTGTAAAACATAAAAAAATAATTAATTTAAAAAATGATTAATAAATGATTTTTTTTTTATTGATCAAATACCTTACATGGCAATAACTTTTTACCCCCCCCCCCTTTTTTTCAAGCACAGAATTCAAAAGCTGTTATGAGATATTTAGCTTTTATCATATATACAGAATTAATTTAGTCAAATTAGGTTTACATATATGATTTTTATCAACAGATGGTTTATATAATTTTCATCAACATCTGATTTTAATCAGATTGATAATATGTCTATACTATAAATTATTGATATAATTAGAATCATGTCATTATTTATGCTTTGGGTACTTTAATGTTTTTTTTTTTTTTTAAATAAATAGGCATACCCTATTATCAATAAACTCATACAAAATGTGTGCAACTTTCAATGTACGAGGTAAATATTTCATTGGTACTTGCCTAGTGATCTTCTTAATGCCATGTATATTTCTTCATCACAACCTTATTATCCCACCCTTAGCTCTGAAGTCTATTTAACTGATGTTTCTTTGTTTTTAAATACTTTTTTCAATGATGCAGCACTTGTTGTCACAGAGGTAAGAATTTCATAGGATGCAATCCATTTTTAAGCTTATCACATCTAACGTTATACACAAACATGTATATTTCTCAGTCACAGTAAAGCCTAAACAATCATTTAACAGTTTAACTATGGGTTATGTTAAATACTTCACAAGTTTGATTAAAACCCCTAAAAATTTCCAAAACAGACAGTATTTACTCCTCAAAGTCGTTTTCTGCTGTTTACTTTCACTTTCATTTTCATTGATTTATGCAAAAGATTTCCAAAAGGGGGAATAACTCTTGTCAAAAATGTGTGTAAATTTAGAGATTTTTACAAACTTTACAATCAATTTATTTTCTTAAAGTAAATAATACCTCTCCAGTTTTTTCATATGTTCTTCATAAATGTATAAGGTGAAATTCAGAGCATCAGAATACTCCACCAGTGCCTGCGTTTTTTGTACACATTGTTATGGTTAACCCCCCTTTTTTAAAGCAATTTTTTTATGTTATTTGGCATCTAACAGCAAGTCGAAAATTTTTTTTTCATCTTTTTTTGATAGAAAATACAAATAACAAATTATTTCAAAGGAAAAAATAAGAATAATCACCTTTATTTAATGAAATGTACATGAATGGGAAGAAATATCAATTTAGGTATTTACCACTATGTGAAAAAACAGGTAACCTGGTTGCCATGGAAACAAGACCAATTGATCACTTTTAATAATATTTTTGTAAATTGGGCTTATAACGTAACTATTTCACAAAGTTTCAGCAAAATCCGTGATTTTCAATTTCCAGCCCATTTTGATGCTTACAGAGAATGACTCTTAAGTGTCCGCGATTCCATTACAAACAAGAATACTATTGCAGCTATTCTTGTTTTATGTGACATGCTGCAACCAGTTTCCATCTTCTGCAAGTATCTTCAAGGATCTGTAGATTTCAGTATGGTGACCATAAAGCTGAAGGTAAAAATCCTTTACTTGCAATGCTACAAATTATATGCCAGAATCAATTGATTGGTTTATTAAACTTAAAATAACACCTATTTGTCTGCACATTGTGATTAATTTATTAATTTATCCACTTCAGGACCTCACTGATTCACTTCATATCCTTATTGAACGATTTCTGGGATCTCTTACCAATCATGAAGACAGCATTTACCTTGGAAGAATTAATGAACTATTTGAAGAAATTAATGAGAGAACTGTTTTTACAAGGAGATTAAGGTAATAATTATTATATATGACAGTTCGGAGAGTCACTATTAAGTATTTGGTAATACAAACTATTAATTTTTATTACATATTTAAAAATTTATTGATTATAATCAGGGACAGACAGGTGTACACACAAGAGAGAGTGGTGGAGGAACTGGCAATTCCAATGGTTCATAAGCTCATCCAAGAGTTGGAGGATGGATTCCACCTCTCTCCAATTTTTCAATCATTTTCACTTTTCAACAAGAATCTTCTACCAGACAGTGTTGGGGAACTTCAAGATTTTGGCAATGTGAGTCATAATAAAAAAATAATGTAATCAGGTGAGTGTGTAAGTCATAGGAGATTCTGAAAATTTCAATTTATTATATCATGATCAAACACATGAATATAATTATTGATTTTAAAGAGTTTGATAATTTTATCTTAATCATATATACATATGATTTCAACAAGGTATATATTGAAAGCCTCACATCTCATTATGGCTTGATGAAAGAAGATGTCTTCCTTGGACACAGAACAAATGCTCTTACTTTGTGTAATAAACATAATGCTGTTGCAGAGTTCCAGGCCTTTAAACATCAGATGTTTATGTATAGGTACATGTCGCACTCCAGTTAAAAAAAATATGTTGTTTGGAGTTTTGTTTCCTTTGTCTTCATTTTTTAAAAAAATTTTGGTTGATTTTTCCATTCAGCAGATTTGTTTGATGGTTGTGTATTTGCTCTTACTTTTCAGTAAAAGGTTGCATGGATTGTTTTTATATTTATTTTATTTATCAATTGAATTATTATTCATTTAAAAAACTATCTGATAAAGAATAATTTATTATATATATTATTCGTAGACAAAGGAATCCTGAAAATGATTTGCTGCAGATGTTCCTGGATGATGGCAGTTATGAGAAACACCTTCCCATGCATGTTCACTCTGGTTTTCCTCTCACGTTTAATTCCCACCAGCACGGCCTCAGTGGAGAGGATTTTCAGCCTTATGAACTGCCTATGCACAGAGAACAGGAACAGACTGGGACAGGACACTTTATGTGCCCTAATGAGAATTTGCAGATATGGTAGTCAGTCACTGACTCCACTGCAAGTGGCTGCCATCATTGACAATTTTAAAAACATGAAAACTAGAGAAATAAACTTGTAAAAGATGATTACTAGCTGTTTTGTTCTCTACTCTTGAAATTGATTTCTGATAAACTGTTAGAAAATTCCCAATTTGCTCCATTTTGACGCTTTTTTCCCAATTGAAATGGGTACCGGTACTAGTACCAAAGGGTAGAAAAAAAAAACGCTGGGTTTGTACCTATCGTTTACAGTTCTTTATTGGTGTCTGCTTTTTCCTCCAATTATTGAAACTGCATTTAATCATTAGCAAATTTTGGTTTCCCTATGCACGAATTTATACTTTTTTTAAAATAAATGCTCCCATAAAGTGGCTGAACAAGAGTGTATAAACGGTTAAATATGCCATTTTAAGTAAAGATCCTTTCAACTTGGTACAGATTGTGTGAAGAGACCGAATTTGCCGTAATTAGCAGGTTACATGTATGTTTCCAAAACGGCAATTCTAATCTTTTCCATAAAATATAAACGAAATATTACCTTGGCTTGTTGTAAATACAAAAAAAATACAATTATAAAAGATGATGAAAATAATTATATAAATAATGCGCTTTATTTGAAATGACAGATTCGAACATTTATTAGTGATGAGATTTCTTGAAAATTATTATTATAACTGTTTGGCAATTGTTGATCAATCATCGAAGGGATCTTGCCTCTTGGTGTCGGTTTTGTCTTCACACATACATGCAATAAACTCTAGAGAAACAGAAAAAAATACAATCTTTTTAAAAAAATTTTCTTGTGCACATTTATGTATTTTTAAAATGTTTTTATTGAATATTTTGTGTTTAGTGACTCTTATATGGACACGTATTTTGACTGAATTCTAAATAAATCTCAAAAATTGCAATTATTCTACCTTCAAAATCTATTCTACCATCGCCATCGATATCAACTTCAGCAATCATTTCATCAACTGTAAATATATAAGAATATTGAGTTATACACAGATTGAACTTTCCATACCCTTAACCTCTCCGAAAGCTCATAAACACACCGGGAAAAGGATATTACGAAATCGCATATTGGCATGACCATTTTTCAAATATTTACATCATATATAGGGCAGTTTATTTGTTAATGAATAGAAAATATTTATCAATAGATTTCAACTTTCTCACTGAAAATTCAACGATCATTAATTTTTTGACTTACTTTCCTCCTCTGTAAGATCTTCTCCCATGCACTGTAAGACAGCTCTAAGATCAGATGCAGTAATGTATCCACACCCTCCCTTGTCGAAAACCTGTCATGAATAATAAAAGACGGAAACTATGATAACCAATAAATCACACACTTCTTTTTGGTTTGTCAAGATATTTCTAATTATGCCTCATAAAACTGAAGCATATATGTTCCTTTTAAGAACTTTATAGAATTTTCGTCGCTAGGATTTTATTTAATGTGGGCCTGTATATGTTCCTTTATTAAACTTAATAACTTTTTCGCCGTTTTGGCATTTAAGCATGTTCCGCCTTCTCCAAGAAATCGAGATAATCCTCTCATTAACTAATTATCATATTGTCTGCCAAGATGAAGAGAGGAGGTATAATTATGATCTAGACAAATCCGATTGTAATGAAATTATTTCAATTTACTTAATTTTTACATGAAATATCACAAGGTCATGACGATAGCGAACTCAAATTCATATTGATTTTCAATAGAATCCATTAACAAGAGGCCCATGGGCCACATCGCTCAACTGAGCACCAAGGGTAGGACTAGTATAAAATGGCTTTTTATTGTAAAGTTTAAATCCAAAAGTAGTCCCATGACCAATCATGGATTTGCTATTTTTTAAGAAAATGATTGAGAAGATTTTTAAAGAATTTTCCTATATATCTCTATGTAAAACCTTGGTCGGCCATTTTGGCCCCGCCCTTACCCGGGGGGTCATGATTTGAACAAACTTGAATCTACACTACCTGAGCATGCTTCCATATATATATGATGAAGTATGGCTTCGTCATTCTTGAGAAGAAGATTTTTAAAGAATTTTCCTATATATTTCTATGTAAAACATTGGTCGGCCATTTTGGCCCCGCCCTACCCCCGGGGGTCATGATTTGAACAAACCTGAATCTACACTACCTGAGCATGCTTCCATATAAATATGATGAAATATGGCTTTGTCATTCTTGAGAAGAAGATTTTTAAAGAATTTTCCTATATATTTCTATGTAAAACTTTGGTCGGCCATTTTGGCCCCGCCCTACCCCCGGGGGTCATGATTTGAACAAACTTGAATCTTCACTACCTGAGGATGTTTCCCCATAAGTTTCATCTTTCCTGGCACAGTGGTTCTTGAGAAGAAGATTTTTAAAATATACCACTAAATTTTCATTAATTCCCAATTTTCTCTCCTTGAATGAGATTGTGGCCCTTCATTTGAACAAATGTGAATCCCCTTCACCCAAGAATACTTTGTGGCAAGTTTGGTTGAAATTGGCCCAGCGGTTCTTGAGAAGAAGTCGAAAATGTGAAAAGTTTACAGACGGACAGACGGACGCCGGACAAAATGTGATCAGAAAAGCTCACTTGAGCCTTCGGCTCAGGTGAGCTAAAAATGAAGACTTTCCTGTTTTGCAATGCCTGGGTCTTACGTGAAAAGGCACTTGTGTATTTAATAAGTATTGGGAAGTTTGTAATGTCGATGTACGATGTTAACGGGCATAAAATCCTCGGTTGTTCTCAAGAAAGTGTCTGTTCATTTTAAAGAAGAAAACATTGAAGAGAAATATAATCTGCAGACGCTAATGATTATTGAAATGCTGAAAGCTATTTAACTGTACCAGCAAGATGTTTTTAATGTGTGTAGCAGTTTTAAATTTAAACCATTTAAATTTAAGTTTTGAAAAAAAATCACTGTATTGCGAATATTCCTATTGTTAATGACAAGCAACCATTATTTATCATTTTTTTGAACGGTTTGAATAAAGATGTGGATCTTCGAGCCTAGGTTAAATTTACTAGGACCTTTATGTTCATTCAATTTATGGTGCGTTTTTATTTATTTTGTTCCTATGGAGATGATGGGCATTAAATGTTGTTACCGTTGAGAAGGTGGGACTTGTTTATGCGGTATCAGCTTGTTTCACCCTAAATGCAAGTTACTGTACTAATCCTAAATGCAAGTCAGAAAGTTGCTGTACAACTCAGAACGTTACTGTACAAGCCAGAAAGTTACTGTACTCACCCTAGATAGAAGTCAAAATGTTACTGTACAAGTCAGAAAGTTACTCTACTCACCCTAAATGCAATCAGAAAGTTAATGTTCTCACCCTAAATGCCTGTCTTAACTCCTCCTCTTCGTCCTCGGCTGACTGCTCGGATATCCCTCCCATGTTTGCCATTACCTGAACAAACTCCTCGAAACTGAATGTTCCATCACCTGTAGAAAGTTTAATACTCATTCCATCGATTTTAAAACTTTAATTTTGACGTTGTACCACTGTTTAAATTTGTTTTTATAAACGTTAAGAAACGACAAGATTTACACTCAATGCAATAGAAGTTAACTTTTAAAAAAATGACTGACAATGTGCACATTTCAAACTCCATTACCTTTTTTTTTTAATAAAAGAAAGATAAAAAATTATTGCAAAGGAGATAATATCCATAGAAACAAGATGTGTTTGTGAAACACTGATGCACCCGTATGGCATCTTGCAAATATTAAACTTTTCTTAAATGAAAATTCAATATATTGGTACCAAAAGTAGGGTATTCTCACTGGAAATACAATTTTGAAATATGAAAGTAGGCCAAGGTTAATTTTTTTCATAAGTATGGAAATCTTCAAGGTCAAGGTTATTTGAATCCAATGAAAGGCCTTGCCACAAAAAGTACATATATAATGTATGGAAGCCCTAGCTTTAACCGTTCAGAAGTTATGGCTAAAAGTTTTTTTAAAGTAGGTCAAGGCCAAAGGTCTTGCTATCAATTAAAAAGTCTTGTCACAAGGATTAAATACGCAAAGTATGAAAGCACTAGCCCTAAACCTTTAAAAGTATTGGTCAAGGTTTGCTTTTTAAAAGTAGGTCAAACTCCAAGGTTAAGATAAAAGGGACCAAGTTCTTGGTATCCGATGAAGGGTCTTCTCACAAGGATTACATATGTGAAGTATGAGATCATTAGCCCTTAGTTTTCAATAGTTAAAATAATGGGCAAGGTTCAAATTTTTGCGGACAAACAGACAGACAGAGATAGACAGACGGACGGACACGACAAAAACTATATACCCCCGAAACTTCGTTTACGGGGGGGGGGGGCATAAAAATGGACATCTGTAATAATAGTATAATAATAGTATAATAAAAATATGTATATGTAAAATAGGCAAACAGATAGATGTTGTTATTTCAGCATACTCTAATCTACTTTCGTTTCAGGGGTATTATTCACTGATTTCTTATTTTAAAAACCAAACTATTCCATAATATACCATAGCGGACTTTTACAAGTTAATCATACCATCAATGTCGATTTCTTTCAGCATCAAATTTAGTTCTTCTGATGAAGGAAATTGTCCAAGGTTCCTCATCACTGTTCCTAATTCATCGGTTGTAATTGATCCGTCCCCATCTTTATCGAACAGCCGAAAAGCTTCTCGAAGTTCTGAAAAAAAAAATCAGTTTTGTTAATGGCTTTATGAAAGTTTCAGAATAAGTCAGTATGCATATTTTGCTTCTTTTTTTATTTAGCAACATGAGGAGTGCAACATGTAAGGGGAGAGCGATTTTTTCACTTAGAAGGCGCCTTAAAAATCGTTTTGACTATTATATATATTATATGATACAATGATTAAAGATACGCCATGAAAAATATCCAGTTGTATTTATTCGGAATTTTTAATGTTCAAATTAATTTTTAATGCAATGTGGGGAAAATAAATGCAAGATATGTTGGATCAATTTTTAATTAGAAGGATATATGCCTGTTTTTTCTTCTCCATTACACACTGATATAAAATCACAACGTTAACAAAATGATTTACAAAGACTGTTTAAATAAATTCATAAAATTAAATTCAATTTAAGATTTAATTAAGTTCTCTTCAAAAATTAATTTTACTTCAGTATTTGATCGAAATTGTGCTTTTGGACAAAACAGTTTAATAAGATGTCTGAAATTCTGCGGCACAAATGACGAGTGTTACTTCTCATTTCTCGTTTAAATTGAGGGATAATTTATATTAGAAGCTTTTTACTTTTTAGACCGAAGATTAGTACACACGATCCTTAGGAAAGCCAAAAGGGAAAATATATTTTTTTAAAAACTGAATTCCTATCAGGAGAACAAGGAGTTCACATATTTTCTGTTTTAAAAGAAATTGCAGAAAGTTTCTTCAATCGTCCAATGCAGTTGATCACTTGTACTGCAGTAGGTTTAGCACCATCTTGTTGAAATCACACCCTCACATTAATGCTTTTAAAACCAATCATAATCAAAAGTATCTTCGAAGTAAATTTAGGTACCAGTCACCAATGACAGTCTGAAATCTATCATTAGAGTCCTGAAAGAAGTACATGTATGAACCATGCAGATCAGAGGAAACAAAGCTGCCTGGACTGCAACTTCCTCTAGATACGTTGGTCTGTTATTGGTAAAACGGTGTTTCGGTTTCCTTAACAGAATTAACACAGAGGCCCATGTGCCACATCGCTCACATGAGAACTCTTGCTAAGAAAAAATTAATCTACTATTGAAAAGCTTTCATGCACAAGTGATCCCAACCTATCCTTAAAAACGGGGAAGGGGTATGATTTGAATAAAATGAATCTACACTACCGAAGAATGCATACATATTTCTTTGACTTACTGTCGCTTTTTACCCCAAAAGTTTGAAAATTTCTGAATTTTTTTCTAAAATAATCCTTTATTTAATTTTAATCGTCTATTGTGATCCCACCCTACCCCGGCGGTCATGATTTGTACAAATTTGTACTACCTTAGGATGTTTCCCTGTAAATATGATCAACCAGAGCTTTGTTGTTCTCGAGAAGAATTTTCAAGATGTTTTCCATATATTCATTTGTTAAACTTTGATCGTCCATTGCTGCCCAACCCTGTAAGTATTTACCCCTAGGGGACATGATTTGAATATACTTGAATCTATGCTACCTGACGATGGTTCCATATAAATACGCCTTATCATGGCTTTCTTGTTCTTGAGATGTTTTAAAGATTTTCCCTATATATTCAATGTAAAACTTTGATCATCCACTGTGGTCCCACCCTACTCCCGGGGATCATGATTTGAAGAAATTGAATCTACACTACCTGAGGATGCTTCAATATAAATATGACCAATCATTGCTTTCTTGTTCTTGAGAAGAATTTAAAAGATATTTCCTTATTTACAATGATCGTCCATTGTTGCTCCACCTATAAACATATCTGGAAGAGGAAAACCTGATAGACACAGACAAAAACCATGTGATATATGTGGAAAACTTATGAGATCAGATAATCTGAAGAGGCACATTCAACGACAGTTCTAACGACAACTCAGATCCATCAGATGACAACGAAGGAAGACAAGGACAACAACACAAAGGAAATTTCTTCTTCCTAACGTTCCAGAGACACAACATAAGAAACATTAAGTACGAAATTATGGAAAACGTACTATTATCAACAGGTGCACTCAACGAGAAGTATTCAGCAGTTGCAGTAGGCATGGAAAGCGGCATATGGAGCATCGCACCAAATATTCATTCACACGCGGTCATCGAATCATCCGAAAAGTGGACATCTGAACAATTCAAAGAAAACTGGACAGGACCAAACATTGACCACATCCAAAGATGCAAAAATGTGAAACGTGCCATTCACTACGTCACAAAAGAAGACTACAGAGCATTCGTACGAGGATTCGACAAAGACATGTGTTCACTCGTGTGGAAAGCATACCAACAAGCATACAGATGCGACGTACTACGACCCACATCGTATCCATACTGTAACTTAATACCACCGCAACAAAAACAATACAGAGAATTCTTCTATGAGTTCGTAAACAAACGTAAACAAGAAGAAGCAATACTCACACTGGAAGGATTCGAATTATTGCACTGGCAGAGGCAGGCAATACATATCATCGAAAACCTCGACAACAACAGAAGCGTTTTCTAGATTTGGGACGAAATAGGAGGTAACGGAAAAACAACACTCGCAAAATACCTCAGAATCACAGAAGGAGCCTTAAGATCAGCTAACATCAGAACAAACGACTTTGCGTACTTATACAAAGAGCAAAGAATCGTATTATTCGACTACACTCGTGAAACAGAAGATTTCGTAAACTATTCACTCCTGGAAAACCTCAAAGACGGAGAATTAGTGAGTTCCAAGTGCGAAAGCAACATAAAAATCTTCACACCACCAGCAGTTATGTGTTTCGCAAATTTCTACCCAAACGTCAACAAAATCAGCAAAGACCGCTGGAAAATTTAAGTTACAAGACCGTGTCCTCACAAGAATGCCTGATGTCGTGTAAATAAAAACTTTAAAGACTGTCCAACGTATAATGTAAATACTTCTTTTAACTGATACATTTCCATTAAATACTTGTACATAGTTGAATAAAGCATTATTTCTGATACATGTGTGATTATTTAAAGATGGACAACTCGTCCGCACAGGCACTAAAGGTAACCACGTTAACATGTGGCTTATAGACGACAGACACTTTACTATTGCATTATATTTCAAATAAAGATGCGTATAAAGGTGATGCATTTGAAATGATAACAAATCAGTTGTGCCTACATTTATTCGTAAACAAAAATGCATGTTAATAAATGCAACGTATTTACAAAATGAAACAAACAAGACAAATCAGTTTTTAAACAAAAAATATTCACAAAGAAGGTTCGTCATGTTCCACCTCATGTTCGACTTCAGGTTCACTGTCAATCTCAGTGTCTGCTTCGTACGGATCAAACGAAGGATTAGAAGCACGTACAAATGGTGAGTTGAACGACATGCACTTTCAGGGACTGACATGATTTGAACAAAGTTGAATCTACACTACCTGAGGATGCTTCCACATAATTAATTTCTTCATTTAAGACTAAATGGTTCTTGAGAAAAAAAATTTTTAAACATGAAACCAAAATTTCACTTTTTTGTCCCCTTGAAAGAGGGCGTGGACCTTCATTTGAACAAACTTAAATCCCCTTCAACCAAGAATGCTTCGTGACAATTTTGGTTTAAATTGAGCTAGTGGTTCTGAAGATGTCGAAAATGTGAAAAGTGGGGTAGAGGCCAAAATTTTTTTCAATGCCAATTTCTTTCAGGACCATTTTTTTGCATACACTACTACATCTCCCTGCTCTCACTTTACTTAGGTAAACAGAGGGGGGGGGCAAGCCATTCAAGGAACATTTTCAATAGTAAAAGTAATATTGGGATAAAAAGTGGCCTGCCCATTCCTCCCCTTGATGCTATGTGCCTGCTAAATGAGTGAAAAATTCTCGAGATTCGTTACATACAATCAATCTTTAGACAGAATTATAATGACGTGATTTACATACAAAATGCTTGTTTAAAAAGCTGCATTTTTTCTTTAAAATATTATGATAATCTTATCTTTAAGGGATTGTAAATGGTGCAGATAACATGAAACACCCTGATTTAGAAAAAGAAAACTGTTTTAAAAATTGACTACCCCTTCCCTGAAAGGAGAGCTTTCCAAATTTTAATTTTATAGATTTTAGGTATATTAGGTTCTATTATTATGACATGCCTTATATGATCATCTTTCTTTTTATTCTATAATATGGAAATAAGAATTTTGTGAGCAAATGCTCACGAGTAATACCCCCGCTCTGGTGTGAATGTACACTATCATGTTAATATACAAGTCAAGGTCAGTTACGGGCAGATACACTGATAAATAGGAAGTTGACATCAGATCCATATAAAAGTAAATCGCAGCATATCGCATGCCTCAACAAATGCTGTGCAAAAATTTCAAGCATCTGTAATGAGTTGTTGCTGAGAAAACTCCAACAAAAATCATTGTTACGTATGGTACAGACAGACCCATGGATGAACATGAAGGTGAATAAAAATGAATCTCACAATATGGCGTATCTCAACAAAGAGTGTATAAAAATTTTAAGCATATGCATTGACTATATGATGAGAAAACTGCAATAAAAATTATGGGATTTAAATCAAAAAAATTCCACAAAATGTCATGCCTCACCAAAGAGTGTGCTAAAATTTCAAGCATCTTTGATGAGTAGTTGCTGAGAAAACTGACCAAATTTCGTTATGTGTGGAACGAATTTGAACAAAAATTAATCCCACCATATGGCATGCCCCAGAGAAGTTAGTGTTAAAATTTCAAACATCTGCAATGAGTAGTAGCTAAACCCAGAAATCTCTGTCGAGACTGTAGCTCTACTGGTTTGTACTTATCAAAAACCATTGCACTATTTTATGTATCTTTGTTTAGTCTACTTGTGTGCCAACTTATTTTGAAATCAAACTAAAACTGTAGAAGGAGTAGCGTTTTAAAGGAATTTCACAGAAAACTCTATTTTTAGTAACTATGGTAACACCGTTCATCGAAATCAATTCTATGTATGTTAGTGTAGTCTACA